GGTCCTTTGTGACAATCAGTGCATGGAGGAGAGTAGACACGCACCGGTGAGTAGCAACCTCAATAAACCTGTCAAACAGTTTTTTGAGCCTAGAAGCAAACTTGTGGTAAACAACACAGTAGTTTGAGATGATTTTAGAGCAATCAGTGCTTGTTTTTAGCACATAGGCCCTCTGTGTTTGTTTAGTTCCATTGTAAGTCTCTGTTGGGATTTGAGTTGAGCTGACCTAATGCTGTTTTGAGACTCTTTAATTTAGATTATACATTTAGTCTTTCTATATTATGAATTTGATTAAAGTATATTATTTTGTAATCTTAGCAATGAATCATGCAAGTCAAATTACAAACAGGATTCCAAAAAAATTGGTACACTAAACAAATTGTGAATAAAAACTGAATGCAATGATGTGGAGATGGCAAATGTCAATATTTTATTTGTAATATAACATCGATGATGGATCAAAAGTTTAATCTGAGTAATTGTAACATTTTAAAGGAAAAATCTGTTGTTTCCAAATTTCATGGCGTCAACAAATCCCCCAAAATTTGGGACAAGTCCATTTTTACCACTGTGTGGCATCCCCCCTTCTTCTTACAACACTCAACAGACATCTGGGGACAGAGGAGACCAGTTTCTCAAGTTTAGAAATGGGTATGCTATCCCATTCATGTCTAATACAGGCCTCTAACTGTTCAATCGTCTTGAGCCTTCTTTGTCGCACCTTCCTCTTTATGATGCGCCAAATCTTTTCTATAAGTGAAAGATCTGGACTGCAGGCTGGCCATTTCAGTACCCAGATCCTTCTACATAGCCATGATGTTGTGATTGCTGCAGAATGTGGTCTGGCATTATCGTGTTGAAAAATGCAGGGTCTTCCCTGAAAGAGATGACGTCTAGATGGTAGCATATGTTGTTCTAGAACCTGAACATAGTTCTCTGCATTAATGGTGCCTTTCCAGACTTGCAAGCTGCCCATGCCACAAGGGCTCATGCAACCCCATACCATCAGTGATGCAGGCGTAGTGTGCTAAAAGGCTCGATTAGCTTGGTTAGCTTCAGAGCTCCACTACAGTCACATTTTCATAACGGGTTCTCTCTTTTTCGAGCTACTTGACAGATATGTGACAGGGTACTGTGCGTAGATGGTTTAATCAGTGACATGAGACGTTAATTTTCTTTGACCCATCAAAATGAATGTGGTCATTTATTAACAGAATCAAAATTTAACATCAAAACATTGAACGATTAGACCGATCGGCTCTGATTAATAAAACTTGGCACGTCTTACTTAATAAACCCAACAGACATTTCTGAAGGCATCTGGATTAATTACTGGCAAGATAGAAGTTTAAAGATGGGAAATGAAGGAGTTTAAATGGAGAGAAAATGTGGAGGAAGAAAGTGTGTTGACGAGGAATGGCACCTTCATCTGACCCCAGCTCAGCCCCGGTACACTAGGTAGTGAAGCGACTCGTTACCTTTGCAGAAGATAGGTCAGCTCCGGTACGGAGTTCCATTTCAACGCTACCTTTCAGCGTCTCCTTAGGATGGCTGAGAATTGTCTGAAGTAGTGACGGTACTCCGTTCAACAACACGCTCATCTCCCGGGTCGATACACAGCGAGCTGTGAGTCCGTCAGAGGTTCCAGTCAGATGTGGAAGGCTCCATAATCCCAACTCGACTCGGAAGACTGAGTCTGAGAAAAACTCAGAAAAGACTCTGAGGAAAAAGATGGCGGCGCCGGTGTATGTGGCTGCTCGTCTGTCCCTCTCGCGTTTGCTGTTGTTTGTGTTGTTTCTGACCTGTTTTTAAACTGTTTTTATTTTCACTTTTATTATGTTGTGTTTTAATGTACAGCACTTTGTGTCAGCCATGGTTGTTTTAAGGTGCTTTATAAATAAAGTTGGTATGGTATGGTATGGTATGGAACTCCAGAAGAACCAACGGAACTAAGAGGGACTAACGGAACTCAGCCGAACTCCATCGGAACCAGCAGAACTAACTGAACTCAGAGGGACTCCGAGAAACCAACAGTTCCAGGAAGTGTCGACTTTTAAAGAGTTCTGCTTCCAGTCACTTTTAGGAAGTCCTGATTGGTTCAAGGAACCAACAGGGGTGTGGTTTTAGTGACGTCAGAGGGTCATTACAAGCCAAGAAAACAGCTGGAATGTTTTGAGAACGGTTAGTTACAGACGAGAAAATATTTTGGAGAAATGACAGACTTAAATGTGCCAGTTTTCTTATTTACTGTCTGAGAGCTTTAAAAACACGACAGTTTGTTCCAACAACTTGTTTCTTGACTGTCTCCGACTTTTGACCAACATCACTCTTCTCATTTCAGACCGAAGATCAATAAATGCATAATTACTTTGTAAAATAGACATTTAACTTGATTTATAATTTGAATGAGGATTAAAAAATCATTAATACTGTTTCACAGTTGATTTAAAATGAGTGGTTCACTTCAACATTTAAAAATGGTATGAACTAAACACACTTTTGATTATCAAGATATTGTAAAATAGTAATGATAATATAAAAAAGAGAGTGTTCTTTCAATTGATTAGTTCAGGATACAATTAGAAAGTCTCTGGATGAGCTAATTTGTATTTCTGGATTCAAATCAATGAAATAACAGTTCCTGTCCCATGAAGGTCTTCAGAGGCAGGTTTTGGTCGGAGGCCTAGTTCACTACACAGGCTTCTGAACGGAGAGTTGATAACAACTTGGGCTATCCGTGTCCTCTATGGTCTGGATAACATGGCATCCCAGTGTTCCATAAAGAATTTCAAATCGTGACTCATCTGACCACAGAACAGTCTTCCATTTTGCCACACTCCATTTTAAATGACCCCTGGCCCAGTGCAAACGTCTGAGCTTGTGGAGCTTGCTTAGAAATAGCTTCTTCTTTGCACTGTAGAGTTTCAGCTGGCAACGGCGGATGGCACGGTGGATTGTGTTCACTGACTATGCTTTCTAGAAGTATTCCTGAGCCCATTCTGTTATTTCCTTGACAGTGGCATTCCTGTTTGAGGTGCAGTGACGTTTAAGGGCCCGGAGATCACGAGCATCCAGTAGAGTTTTACGGCCTTGACCCTTACGTACAGCGATTGTTCCAGATTCTCTGAATCTTTTGATGATGTTATGCACGGTTGATGATGATAACTTAAAAGTCTTTGCTATTTTACACTGGGTAACACCATTCTGGTATTGTTGCACTATCTTTCTGGGCAACAATGGTGGAATTGGTGATCCTCTTACCATCTTGGCTTCTGAGAGACACTGACACTCTGTGAAGCTCTTTTTATACCCAATCATGTTGTCAAATTGACAAATTGTCAATATTACAAATAAAATATGGACATTTGCCATCGCCACATCATTGCATTCAGTTTTTATTCACAATTTGTTTAGTGTCCCAACTTTTTTGGAATCTGGTTTGTATATATTAAGGTGTTTTAAACCCCTCCCACACTCTTGCAATATTTTAAACAAGGTTTCTAAACTTTAAAAGCTCTAAAAGAGCACAGCATGTCATGATTTCTGCTCCTTGCCTCCTCTGCTCTTTGCCACCTGCAAGCGCTCTTGGCCACGCCCACTTCTCCACTCTGCACAGTGAACAGCTGATCAGCTGCAGCAGGAAGTTTATCCTGCAGTATGGGCTGCACAAAGTGCAGCAGATGCTAAATAATTTTAAATAATTTATTTTAAATAAAAATTCCATGCCGATCGTGCGGCCCATCCATCAATCAGCCAATTGTGTGTCATGTCCAATCTTGGTTTGAAAAACCGCGATAAAGCGAGACTGCGATAAACAAACTGTGAAATAGTGAGGGACTACTGTCTATATCATATTGTATATTATCTTATATTATAATATATAATAATATAATATTATAAGACTTTCTGCATGTTTTAAAAAATTATGTTCTGCTGTTCGTATTTTTATTGAAACTTGACCACGATTACATGACTGGTCATCTTAAAGACTGCATTGCTAGTTTTGCATGGTAGTCATAGTTGTAGCCTGGCTCAGGACCATTTCTTCAGTCCTTCCCTGGTAAGCAAGCGTTTGGATCAGACATGAGTGAACATTGAAAACCAATACCGAGGTTACCATCAGTTCAACATCTGGAACAAAATCTCAGAAGGTTTCTTGACTAAAATAAAAGTTTTACCTATTTTTCCAACAGTCCCTGCTCTTTTTCTGATGGGCCCAAGTGATCTAGGGACAGAACGGTCTTAACTTAATCTACGGGTGTCCAAAGTGCAGTCCGAGGGGCCGGGACATTTGCGACCCTTGGAGTGATTTTGTGTGGTCCACAACTGCAGTATAAGAACTGTATCATTTTGTCCAGCAGGCTTAAGAGGTCACTGCAGACTTTCTGCAAATTAGTTGGTAATCCTTTTTTTATAATGTTTAGGTTTAACAGCAAAATGGATGAAAAACAATCTTCTCAAAATGAGCAATATTAAACAAAATACAAACCTTTGTCTGTAATCATTTTATTTTCACTTCATGGTACAAAGCACCAAAAACCTTTAATGATTCCTACCAGAAAGGAGGTTTTTGGATAATGATTCTTAAAACTTGGCTAAATATTGCAGTTGATAAAATAATCAATAGGGAAACTGGACTGTTTTAAATGAATATAACGTGGTGTCCTCTACATACGAGTTGATCAACTTCATCAAACCTTTTATGAATCTTGTTTTGGATCCACAACAATTTAAAACTCTATCTACTAAAGTTAGTAAAACGTTTGTCTTTTCTCCAAAATATTGTTCACTATGAGTTCAATTCACATTTTTGTGGCCCACGAGTCCGTTCATCTGAGTAGTTTTGACCCACATATGAAAATGTTTGGACACCCCTGGATCTTAACAGATTGAGCTTCAGCTGTCGGTTGACTACAATTTCCAGTATAAATAACTTAAAAACTCTGTGTGTGTGTGTGCGTGTGCGCGCGTGTGTGTGCGTGCTTGTGTGTTTGTTGCAGCCTGGACTGAAAAGGTGATGGGAGACTTTGGCCATCTGTACAAGCAGCAGTTTTCTGTTGCTCTCTTTAACAAAGTTCGCTTCGACGTAGAAGGAGGAGGGGGTCCACAAACACAACTGTTACACCGCAAGGTAAAGCACTCTGCTCCACCCACCGTCACAGCACTGGTCATATGTTAATCAAGTACCAACTTCTCTACAACCCAACATGCCAAAATAAATCACCATTCTTTAATTTATTGCCAAAGTTTTTAGTTTTGAGCAGAAATCTATCACCTTGAACAGATTAAATTGGAGAACAAGTCCATCTTTTCTGGATCCCTGCTTCAGAACATTGAGGAGAACAAGAAATGGAAGAACCGCTTCTTCTTTATCTCAGACTCGTATAACATCAGCTTTTACGACAGCAAATCGGTAAGAAGCATGTGCACAGTTAGATGTAGTGTAAAATGTGATGTGTTAATGATCTCAGTTTGTCCTTCCAGTCCTTTGACAAGCAGCTCCATCCCAAAGGAACCATTAACTGTGCCGGCTACAAAGTGCTGACCTCTTTGGAAGACTACCTAGATCTGACTAGTAACAGCCCACCTGGTGAGTAAGGTGTTTCAGAGTGTGAGAAGCTCCGTCGTCCAAATGGAGCGCCAAGTAGAGCTGCTGCTTTTTCACTTTAAAAGAAGTCAGTGAAGGTGATTTAGGCATCTGATCAAAATGCCTTTCTGTAGAGGCTTGCTGGACATGTCCCACTGGGAGCAGACCCAGAACTCACTGAAGGGGTTATAAATCTTCCCTGGCCTGGGACTGCTTGGGATATCCCAGGAGGTTCTGGGGAGTGTCACTAGAAAGAAGGATGTCTGGATTTCCCTTCCTGACCTCTGCCTCTGCTGCTTCTTCTTTTTCTTTTTCTTGATCTTCATATTCTTACTTTTATTGTTCTTATTGTTTTCTTCTTTGTCTTCTTTCTTCTTTTCCCTCTTCAGGTGTCTCCACAGCGAGTCATCCTCCTCCATCTCACTCTGTCCTCACTCCAACTACCTCCATGTCCTCTTTAACTGCATCCATATATCTTCTCTTTGTCGTTTTCTTGGCAGCTGCATTTCTAACATTCTTCTACCAATATACCCACTGTCCCTCCTCTGGACATGTTCAAACCACTGTCCCTCCTCTGGACATGTCCAAACCATCTCAGTCTGGCCTCTCTATCTTTATCTCCCAGTTGTTCAACCTGTGCTGTACCTCTGATGAGCTCATTCCTAATCTTGTCCATCCTTGTCACTCCTAAGGTGAACCTCAACATCTTCATTTCTGACACTTCCAGTTCTGTCTCCTGTTTTTGTTTTTGTTAGTGCCACTGACAAAAAGCTCTGTAGAAAAAGGATAGATAATAATTAATACTTAGGGTTTTGAATATTTTTGTTGCAGATGTGAAAGCCAAGGTGGGAAGTTCACCCTTTCTAAAATTTCCAAACCCATTCCCTCTGATTCTGTGGCATCCTTATGCCCGTCACTACTACTTCTGTGTGGCCACGGAGAAAGAGCAGCAGAAGTGGCATGCTGTTTTACAGGATTGTGTCAGACATTCAAATGATGGTAAGTCCTACCAAATACTTAATTCAAGCTTTATTTAAACAGGTTAGTCTCACTGAGCCACGAGGACTAGGGAGACCTGTTTTAAATGAACACAGATGCGGTACAGACAACAGCATATAAAATAAAAAGTAAATAGAAGAAATTATATAAAAACAAACGGTTACAACCGGCACAAACACTGCTGCCAGGTTGTGTAATTAGATGTGGGCGTTTTCCACCTTCTGCACACCTCAAGCAGCCGCGGAGTAGAGGATGACACAGGAGTGGATTTTCACTCCTGTCCTGTCCTGGTCCCACAGAAAAAAATCCTGTCCTGTCCCAATCCTGGTCCAGAGTAAAAAAAATAATCTTGTCCTGTCCCACTCCTTGTAACATGACTCCCACTCCTGTCCTGCTCCAGTTTTTTTCTCTTCATTTAATTTTTAGGAAATGCATTGAATTTGATTTGATCTCCTACACATTCCTTTTTAAATTACTTTGTGTTGTTCAGTTTTATTTCAAAATATATGGCAACAGGAACAGTTAATCTGTGATGAAATAGAGGGATTTATTGTCTTAATCCAAACAAAAACCTTCACTAAAGGGCACAAAACAAATAATACATGGCCTGCAGTCCATATAATTTTTCTACGGAGGATCAGCTGCTTAGCCCCAGTTTCTAGCTCTTTTGAAGGTCAGTTACAGTCAAAACAAAAAATCAAAACCAGTACATGGGTCACACCATGTCTACCTTAGATGAAAGAACCCAAACATAACAAGTTGCATTTTACTAATTTATTGAGCAATTGTTTCCTTTAAACGGTGACATTACTGTCATGTTTTAAATTGTTTAAACAAACAAAAACAAAAAAAAGAAAAATAATGTACCAAGCAAGAGAACTCGACAAATAAAAATGTTTAAAGGCATTATTATACATTGGACGACGTCCTCAAGAAGTTCAGTCTATGTGGTTGAGGTAACGAGCTTGTTTGGGTGAAGCAGGATGTCGTGCAGCTTACCAGACTTCAGAGCATCATTTACAGACTGTAGCATTGCAGGTCTGGTGTTCCACCTCATCTCTCCACAGTTTCAGTGACGGGTCCAGCACCTTTCGTAACCTAAAAGTGAAAGAAGACAGTGCACAAGTCAAAATAGGGTTACAGTGACTACAAATTACAATGTGTTGGTCTTTCTTTTGGAAAAAAATATTTGATCAAAAACAAGAGATTTACAATTGAAATTAAGTGAAGAAAATGTGACGTTTGCAATTATAAATTACAGTAGCTCAATTTTTCTTTATTTCATGTAATCATATTTTATAATTATTTAAGCAGCCTCACCAGGCAGAGATTACAAGATTTTATTTATCTTACTTGCTCTTTTGAAGTGTGTGACATGGGTCTTTGTGCCCAAAGCTGTTTAACAGCTTGCTTCCAGAGCTAACAGCTTTCTGTGTTAGGCAGAAAAATTAAAGACAAACAAAAAGCTTAGTGCTACCTCTTGTTGTGCCATGCTTTCTAAAACAGTTACTGTATTGAATCATGGATTTACTTATGTAGGTAAACAGATGTTTTGAAACCTGTTAAAATACACCAGAATGCAGGAAATAGCAGCTACTTTATTCAAAAAAGTTATGGGGGAGGAACCCACAGTCCCCCCCTACAATAATTCTAATGCTAATACACACTGTGTGGTTCAAGCCAAGAGCCATTGTCAACACTGGGGGGGGCTAAGGCCACTAAAAAGAGCTTCTAGAATCGCCCCTGGTGTGAAGAAATGAACTGAGAAAAATCAACTCTTGGCCTAAAATTTAACACAACATAATTGTACACATCATATCTTAAATCTAAAACTAAAACATTTATTATAATATATATGCAACCAGCCTTTCATATAAAAACTGGGATATTTTTACCGCTTTCACTCTAACGAGTTTGCTGTTGTACTGACATGGTTACAGCCGACAGTAACTATTTACACAATTAAATGATGGTTATTCACATTTTCCTCCATTTCAGTATCCAGCAGAATGTCGCAATATAAAAATAAGGGTATTTTTACCAGAGAATGCGTGCACTTTAACCAGGAAGAATTCAGCTTTTTTTTACATTACAAACAGCGACTGATAATGACGATTTTAACCTAAAAATCCACATGACAAAGCAGAGCATAATTTTTAAATTAAAAGGGACAAGGTGGAGAAAAATGCACTGTCTGAGTCTGTTTATTTACTGACTGTAAACAAAGTCCGACTCCCCGCAGCTCCTCACTGCAGCTGAGACTAAAGTTTAAAGCAGCACAGCACCAACACAACTCTCGTGAAGTTCATGGTTATTTGACACTTTCCTGCCTGTTCTGTGAGACAGGTGTGGGTGTTTCACCTATCCCACCCACATTTTGATGTTGTCGGTACTGGGAGTTGAACCAGCGACCTTACGATCACAATTCCAGGTGATTTTCGGTAGACCAAATGCAGAAAATGTTTCGTAAGTGATTTCACAGTAATTTTGCCTTTTTAACGTGCGTAATGGCGTGACTTCCGGGAAACGTGTTGCGACACACATAATCTTTAAAATATATTGATTTCCAGATTTTGTTTTTGGCAGTGGGCCCACAGTCTAGCAGAAGTGTTCAAATGACTCGCCAAGTGCAGGTATGGGGTGCAGAGGTGCAAGTAGAATTGTTTGGTTTGGCTTCCCCACTGGGCAGCACGGTGGCGCAACTGGTAGAGCTGCTGCCTCTCAGCGAGCAGGTCCCTGGTTCAAATCCTGGTCCGGGGGCCTTTCTGGGTGGAGTTTGCATGTTCTCTCCGTGCATGTGTGGGTTTTCTCCGGGTACTCCGGTTTCCTCCCACAAACCAAAAACATGCATGTTAGGCTGATTGGTAACTCTAAATTGTCCCTAGGTGTGAGTGAGAGAGTGAATGGTTGTTTGTCTCGTTTGTCTCTATGTGGCCCTGTGATGGACTTGCGACCCGTCCAGGGTGTACCCCGCCCCTCGCACAGTGATTGCTGGACATGGGCACCAGCGACCCCCGTGACCCAAAATGGAATAAACGGGTAAAGAAAATGGATGGATGGATGGCTTCCCCACTACCTGGCATGTGTGACTGGACCGACAATATTTTACAACATCCAATTTTAATCTTGGCCAGAAAAAGTTATTTAATATGCAGTGGTAAATTTTGTTTACACCAAGATGTCCAGCTAAACTGGAATCATGTGCTAGACTGAGAACTTGTTCCCTGTATTCTTCTGGCACCACCACCTGATTAACTGTGGTGAATCTGGGGACCAACGGCTCATCAGAACTCAATTTTCTAAGAAATACTGGACAGGAACATCAGTTCTATTTCGTGTAGGCTTCGCCCTTTAAGGCTGTCGCTTGTGGGTTTTATCCCATCACGCAACACGTCACACAGAAAAATTTAGTCCACGCCCACCTGCCGTGTGGGCCCCACCCAGTCCGTATAAATTACGTTGAGAGCGGGTAATCGGCTCCCATTTTTCTTCAGCAAGCAACTAGTACTGATCTTCCAACAACGCAATGTCCAGCACCAACACTATCCACCTGTGCCCGTCCTGCAAGACCGGCTACATGCTGAGCTTCGACCGGCATGACACCTGCAAAGGATGCCTAGATCCCCGCCACGCCGACCTTGCCACCTCCTGCCGCCTCTGTGACCTCCTCCCCCATGAGGAGAGGCAGAGGCGAGCAGTCTTGTTTAAGGCCAACATCGAGGAGTGCCTCTCTGTGGCGGGGGAATGCTCGCTGGACAACGCCATTGATTTTTTTGACGCCGAGTCTCGGAGCAAATCCGATGGTTCCTCAGGGACAGGCGACATCAGCAGCAGCCCCGCTGCTCATTCCCTCCCAGAGAGCGTAGTGTTGGAACGGGTCGGGCCTTTCCGCATCAGTGACCACACCACTCCCAGCCGTCTGTGCCCTCCTCTCGGAGCTGCCCGGCATAATCCAGGAGGTGGCTGACACGAAGGGACTTTCCGTCCCTCTCCTCCCCCTGCCCAGATCGGATGATCTAGCGGGAAGGTTTGGCTCCACCCCGGCTCACCGCCCTGACCCCATCTGGCCTCGTTTCCCAGCAGTGACGTCCTACTAGAACGAGGCTGCAGCCGGACCTGGTAAATTGAGAGCGCCCATCTCCACCTTCACGCCCAGAGTGAAGGGGTTTACTGAGCGGAATTTTCCCTTGGTACCCTCCCTGGAGCCAAGCCTAGCGGAAACTCTTGGCACAAAAGTGTCCAGGTTGGACCAGCGTCCAGTTCCTGCGGGGAAGCACCATCAGACGGTGACGTCACTCTCCAACTGAGCTCACCAGTGTGCATTCCAGGCGGCCGCAGTGAACAACAATGCCGCACTGCTGGCCTACAGCATCTCGAAGAGGCTGGAGGAAACAGACCTACCTGAGGAGACAAAGAGCTCACTCTGCAAGGCATCTGACGTCGGATGACCTCTACTGCATCATCAACAGGAGGTGGTCAGTTTAAGATTAAAATCAGACACCACTCTGAGCAGCAGGACCACACTTTCCACAGAACAACTGTGTCAACTCTTGAAACTGTGCCTGCAGTCAACCTACTTCACATATGGGGAGCAATATTATAGGCAGAAACATGGGTGTGCTATGGGGTCTCCAGTTTCTCCTATTGTTGCCAACCTGTACATGGAGGAGGTAGAAAAGAGAGCCTTGACGTCCTTTTCAGGGACACCACCAAGTCATTGGTTCAGGTATGTTGACGACACCTGGGTTAAAATTAAATCTCAGGAAGTCCAACATTTTACTGACCACATCAACTCTGTGGATAAGTACATCAAGTTCACACGAGAAGATGTAAAAAATGGCAAGTTGGCTTTCTTGGACTGTGAGGTCTCAGTCTCCGATAGAGGACATTTGCAAACCGAGGTGTACCGCAAACCCACCCATACAGACCAGTATTTGCAGTTTGACTCCCATCACCCTTTGGAGCACAAGTTAGGAGTCATCAGGACTCTGTATCACAGA